CTCTCTCTTTTTTTGGTTACAAGCGGTCGGATTGTTGTTTAGCTCGGTAATTTCGGTTTACCATTGATGAGGAATACAATCATCGAATGCCGGTTATAAACATGCACTATACTATACAGGACCGATTGATTTACGATTGCCAATTTTCCATGTACAAACGTCGATGTCGAAACGGTTATTATCGGATCTCATAATTAATTCGCGCAAAAATTTCATCGTAATATTATATAATGCAACGTTAATGGCCAATCATTTCCGGTAATTGAAAATTACCGGACTAATATTTCCTGCCATTGATTGATTATCCAAAAAGATCCAAAAACCAAACAAATTGCCAACATCAATAAATTCATTCAATTGTATAAAATAAATGCTATAAGTATTAATTACTTAACAAATGTTAAGTAATTAATAGTGTGAATAATAATGTTCAGGGATGGATGGTTGGAAACGACGGATGCATAGTTAATGGTAACAAAATTGGCTTTTAATATGTGATGAGGTTAGAAAATTGATTTGTATTGTTTCGGTGGGAATGGGGACGCGGAACGCCAATTGGCCGCAATTAGCGTGAGGGTGGTAGGATGTGGGGGGGTAGGATCTTAATTGGCGTGCAATTAAATAAAATTGCGCCCGCACTTGCATAACCGTATTCGAAATGCATTTTCTCCATCCCTTAATTCGCAAACCGCCTATTATTTTTGAAGCGAATTACGCCGATGGAATTCGTTACGCAACGACGCCACTGGGGCGGGGGGGGGTTATGCGAGGTGTGAGTGGTTAAGGGATGGTTGGGTATGGCAGGAAGGTGGAAGGCGGACTTCCGGCAATTTCATTTCATTTCGTGAACCGCCTCCTGAAAAACTGCTGTAAATATCGCGGGTGGCCCTTTAGAAATTCGCTTGCATTATAGATGGCGGATGCGCCGGGCCAGGTGGCAACCCTTTCATGTGTAATTGCTTCCATCCCACACAGTTGCATGCAACGTCCAACGGATTCCTCCTGATTTATTCATTCCGATGGATGTGAGGATGCTACCACCCCTTCAACCCCTTTTTTCTCCAAAACACTAAAATAAAATCGTGGTCGCATGCTATAATTCACTTTTCAATGATCCTCTTTCCTCTTGCATATTTTATAAAATCAATTTCATTCATGTCGTTCAATATTAAAACTGGTCCACGCACACCTATTATAACGCATAAATAACAAATGTATCGGCGGACCGTAATCCTGTAATCAACAAAGAGGATTTCAGGTTTTAATGACATAACAGCCATTCCCATGCATAGCTTACAACAATTACCACTTTTTTACTCTAATGGATCCAAAAGATGAATATCAAATTTGTATATATATATCTTTTGGATCCATTCTATCTATTATTATCCATTATCCATTATCTAAAACGTGAAGACACTTCATATTTGATCGTTGTCCTACCCACGAAATCGTTGTCCTACCCACAAAATCGTTGTCCTACCCACGATTTAGTGGGCGCCGGTTCGAATCCTGGTTAAGCCAGGCCCTTTGTGAGCCCAATAGGGCAATTGGAAATTTAGCCAATGGACTATGGATAGCAGCAAATTCAATGTCAACCCCGATCTTAAATTTACTTGATGAACAGATACGACTTAAAAAAAATCTATTATAGTTTCTGAGAAAATTTCAAATATTTTATAATTTAGTATAATAAAACTGGTAATTGTTTTGAGAGAATGGTAATGCATGAACAGAGATTTACTTTTGTGGTAGAGATGAAGATAAAAAGCATTTATTCATCATCAATCATCCATCCTAAATAATGCATGGCAATGCATAACTCGGTAGCAACACGCACAACCCATTATTATTTTTGTGAATGCAATATATACGGTCGTTTTTTTTTCTCCCACCCGGAGGCGGCTGTCACGACGCCATAAATACCAAAAGCATGCTGTATTATGGCGACGCTGCTATGCGGCGTTTACATTTTATGATTAAAACATTAAAAACACTATCCGCCGCTTCTCTTTACCGAGCAGAACGCAATCTCTCTCGCAATAAGTGTTTATTGGTGGGATAGGGTTTCGCGAAACTGGAAATAAATAACTAGCACACGGTAAATTAAAAAAAAAAGAAGCAACTTATACGACCAAAGCTAACTCGATTGAAACCGGAAATTGTCTATAAATTCATAGCTTATCCTCATATACCTGAAGATTATGACATACTATTTTCTTAATTAAAACGTCATTGGACTGTATTTTTTTTTAGAATACACCAATACCTCGCTTTACGCCCTAAGGTAAATAACGTCCTGTGAAAAGGGTTGAAGGTTTTTTTGGATACAGTAATTTATTAGTAAAATGAGCTGTATAATTCAATTAGAAATTAGTATTTGTGTTTAATTTGTGGTTGAGGTGTTTACCTTAGGATATATATTATCCTAAGGTAAAAAAAATCGTATTTGTAGTTAGAGTTTGCATTTGAACAGGGATAGTGTAATAGTCGGGTGAGTAGATTAAAACGTGTCTCTGGTGGAGTTCCTTATCACGAAAGTAAAGTTTACTACTTGTTTTAGAGCAGGAGAAGATTAGTCCTGGAACTTGTTGAACCGATGAAGTTGTGCTTGCTGATGGCGCGAGTAAAAACAAACGCGCGGCAGTAGTTCCGGAGGAAAATTCGGTTGGGGAAAATTCTGATATTGCGGGAGATGCAGTATACATATTTGTTTAATTTACTTGGAGATGGGATGTTTTACGCGGAACCGCAACACCTCCGTTTTTCCACGAAAAACAGGAAAGTTCGTATTAGTCTTGTGCATGCAGATGAGTTTGAAACTATGCTCTGTGTTTGCATGCATAATGACACATAGATATACACCCTCACTGGAGAGTATCATTCCTATCCAAAGGATTGGGTAAAAATTAAAAACCAGCTGTTAGTTCGCACAAAATTAGATGTACACATAATATCTGAAAGTTTTTATTTTAACAACTTCCGGTTAAATTTACCGCTTACATAATTGCTTGTATCATCTTCTCGGATGATATTGATTCCGAGGAAACTCCGAAAGCTTGTTGCTACAGGCGTCTTAGTCCGTTGCGGTGGGCACGGAACCGAACCTACTTACGGACTTAATCTCCGGTCTAAACTCCGGTCAACAATTAGATGATACAAGGAATATAGCACGTGAGTCTTTAGATACGTCTCTGCGTTCACATAAATTCGGTGACGCAATATCGGGGCTATTTTATTGGAGCAGATATATTAGGTCAAGCCGGCAATATAACAGTCGGATTTTAGCTGAAAGTGGGCTGAAGTTAGGCGGGGACTGCTGGTTGATGTGTAGCCGGTTTTTGAACGGGGGCGCTCTCGTAAATCACGCAAGAACAATCTATGAATATATTGTCTGCAACACTGCGGCGCGCCCAGAATTAACAAGCGAAATGAGACTACCCAAGAAAAACCTAAAACCACCATCCTTCATCCCACCAATCTCAAATGAAAACCAGTTACAGCATCAAGATAATGAAAAAAAAAACATCCAGTTGGAATATACCCAAAAGCAAATTGATTCTATACAACTACAAAAAAAAGCTAAAACAATTTGTGTACTTTTTTGCGCTTTTTCAGTAGATATTTTGATATATTAATTGCTGAAAATATCATCACTAATTGTGATTGCCTGAACATGAAGAGCTCCTGTCCAAACTCAATCCTGGAACTAATGAAAACTCAGTTATGAAGTTGGCTTAGGGACCACTTAAACTCTTAGATATACACAAGCACTGGTTAGGTTTGTTTGGTATGAATCAATAACTAAGCATATACAGTTGCATACTACACCTTTATGTGAAAGCTCTTACCTCTATCTACGACTCGAAATCCGAAAGAATCTCTATCTGAAAATACATAATAAAACAAATATAAATGTGTTTCAATGCAGTGTCGTATTTCAATCAAATCATATACAATATGCAACGTATTATTTATTATTAATATGTAACACAATATGCGTATGTGCATGTTGTTATTTGTGTGATTTCCCATTAATAAACTGATGGATTTTAATTGAAATGAAACCGTACACCCAATTTGTATTGTTATTACATTACGGATTCTATAATATGTACTTTATATATTTATCGATCTGCTTGGAAAAGTAATATAAGTGTTCACATTTGTAACTTTGATCCCCAAAGACTATGATTCTTCGTCGGAAGTTTTTAATTAGTGTAAGTTTTCTGTCCGCTAAAGGGTGAATATTACAAGGGACGGTGAGCGTGCTTTGGACTGCATAAAACTCCCTGCAGCAAAGGGAAAGGTCCAGGAAGGGCGAATGAGATAGAAAGAGAGAAGAAAAAAAGACAACGAGAACATAACAGGAGAGTAAGTTGAAAGTACAAACTAAGACTGCAACGGATGATACTGTACAAAGGTTAAGAGACACAAGTAAAAAAAAACACAGGAGAAGTGAGAAACGATGAGAGTGGAAGCTCTGTAATAGCAAGGGCTGAAATGAGGTTTCAGCGATACGTTTTCCAATATCGCATGGTAATAAAGCATGGCCGCGCTCTAACCCTTCTGTCCTATTCCTCGTCGATCACACCACTTCCTGCATAAAGGACCAAGGAGCGGGTTACGCCATTATTCTATACGCGAAAATTAGCAGCGAGTTGAAAATGACCCTTAATTAATTTTAATTTCCATCGCGCCCTTCGATTTCCCGCATTCGTGACCTCTGGATTACAACGGGGGTGGCAAAAAATGAATATGTAAAATAAAGAGCGATGAAAAGGAAGAGTCGCACACGACTGAAACCAGCAATTTCCGAGGAACTGTGAAAAGGGTACCAACGTCGAGCCTTTTTCATTACGTGGTTTAATCTTCCGCGCACAACAAGATTATTTTACGCTCCAACTTTTTCCACTCCACTCATTATTATTATTATCATTATAAACCGCGTTTCCTTCTTTCAGTGTATTTTTTTTTTGGCGCCCTCGACAGTGTTACTACATTCCCACACCGCGCCCACGATCTTGGTCCTCTGGATTACGTAAACCCGAGTGGAGGAGGCCATCTCGCTGGGCCTAACCAAGTTATCCTTGGCTTAATAACATAATCAGCTTATGCTGTATTATCGACCACCTTCGTACTGTCCTCAGAACACTTCTTCTCTACAGATTATATGCAAACATGTGTAGTTCCAAAAAAAGGGTCAACTGGCAAAACTTAGAAACTTATAGTTTTGATATTCAATCTCCTATGTCTGAGATAATTAATTACATTACAAAACAACTTGAAGAGATAAATTATACAATTACCTAAAATTATTTTAATTATTACAAAAAATTGTATTTTTTTTTTAATTTATTAAAATTAATGTTAAAAAAATGCAAAAAACGTGAAAATTTAATTTGTGAATAAAATACACTTTAATTATGTCTTAATTAAATTAATATATTAGTAATTAGTAAAATGAAAACTTGATGTTACCATTTATATCTATTTGCTTTTAGGTTTCATTATGAAGTTTGACCATGCTGTGAGGGTTTTCAATGAGGTTTATATACATACACTTCTTATTGTTAAGGATCCCTTAGTTACTTATTAATTAGTATAAATATCCAAGTGCTACGTCCAGGAGGAGACCTTTCGAGTTGTGCCATTGTCTTGTGAGAGGTTTACAGCGAGAGTGTTTGATGAAAGCGCAGTCTCCTACACTAAAGGCTCCTGATTTCGCTCCTCGGTCTGATTCTGAAAGGGTCGTTGTGGGTAACTTCGTTAGATGAAAATTGTGATGCATCGATCTTCCAAGTAACAGGAAGCATTTGCCCATTCCGCAAACACGTCTTCCTGTATTTCCATATTACCATTATTAGCAACATCGAAATGTCAGGAACACCAAAATGTTATAGTGGTGAAGCATGCTTCGAATGGAGAACAGAAGGAAATTAATAATTTGAATTTGCATGTTTTCAAAATTTATAGGACAAAAGCTTCCATCCGCACACAATAGAACTTGATAATCATTATTTTTAGACAGGAATGGAAATTTAAAGGCCGTAACGCATAAACGGCGATTATTGTCAATTGTGTATACAAGTATGGACAAAAACACTGTTTGCGAGGATGTCCTTCCATCCAAATGGCTCACAGCGTGCATTATATTAATGTGCTGAATAATTTAACTTTAGTATTATTGTAAATTTCAATTTATAGAAATTCTATTATGATGGAGATTCGGACGCAATTGAGTTATGCTGCAACTGGGATCTGCTCTGCCAGTATGTTTATTGGATGGATATTGTGAACGCGCCGCAAATGACAATTACATTTAGTAAATAGATTTTATTCGGGGGGGGCGAACGCTCCCGTTTTTACGAGTAACTCTGCGGGGATCCCCACCGTTTCGCCTATTTTATAACCAATAAACCAGGCGACAAAAAGGGAATCAATGCAACCTCATTAGCGGATCACCATCGCATTTACACGACTCATGTACTTTAATCTCTTCATAAACACATACTGCTATCATAACACCACCAAAACCAAATCATTTGAAAATTAAAAATCTTAATATCTCATACTACAATTTACTCAATAATCTATGAAACCTCACCTTTATAAATATATTTATCAAAATTTATGGAGTTGAAAATTATCTAAAATGTAAGGACTTTTTTTATTGAATATAAACGAAATGATTGCAGAAACGTGGAGACATAGGGGCAAGGGTTATTTGATTAAAACTGACAGATCTATTACTCAGGTGTCTTCTGCTAGTATGTTTATCGCCAAGTTAAAAAATGTATGCCCCGGGAATTCGCACGTATAAAAGGAGAAGACTTTGGGGGTGGAGGGGTTGTCGGGTCCAACGTTATTTATCTTTATAAATTATACTTTCACCAAGTGCATTTTAAATTCATCGCGAGAGCAAAAGGGCGGCGAACAGTGTGCAAACAAAAAGGCGACAAAAATAAAATATTTATTCATTTTCATTTTCTCCACCTGTTTATTTCTAGCCGCGAAAAATAATGCATTATTTTAATAAAGCAAACACGAGCGACAATTGCGTTTTCAATTAAAACGTAGTTCGCTTTAATTAATCAGCTGCAGAATATTAATTTCATTTGAAACATCCACGAGCATTCGAATTTCCCGCGTTATTTACGCTTAATATAATTTTAACACAACATCATTTGCTAATATTATTTTAAATGAAATATTTTTTAATTCAATTTTCTTTTACAAATTTATTATTATTTTAACAAATTTTAATTGGTACCAATTTTTTTTATGGGTAAAAACATAAATAATTGAATGAAATAAAATTTGAAACTGATTTTTCTATTGTCGTTCCGGTGTTTCATTAAAGTTCTGAATTATTTACATTGCAAATACGGTGGAAATTGCAGAAACGTGTTTCCACACGTACACGCATACAATTTTCCTCCCCCCAACCCGTTGTCGCTATTGTTGTTTTCGTCCCTGTTTTTATTTGTTCCTTGCATTTGGGGCGCTGCAGATAATTGCGACCGCTAATGAATAAAATTAATAAATCGTAATTGGCATTAGTGCAATCTGCATTTCATTATTTTCCGTATATTTGAATGCGGAATAACGGGGAGCGAGTGTGTTATTTGCAGACGCATTTATACGTAATTAATAATTAATTGCATGCGATTAGGAGCGATAATTAGGACCGAAAAAAGTGTAGGGAGTGGTGAAAAAATGGGGTTGAACGTAATGCGGGGGAGGGATAAAAGTAGAAGTTTTCCGTGGAAATGGACTTCGCTGTTTTTGTTTTATTTTTTTCCCACTACTTCTTCTATCTTTCGTTCTTCGTTGAAGACTGTCCACGCATTAATCAACTTCTTCCTCGTCAACGATGAATGTCATAATGCGAAACTCAAATTCGAAACTCATTTCCCGACGGAGTTTGCTCGGAAAATCCGGAGGGAAGTGGAAGCCGGAGTAATTAGAACTAATTGAAATTTGCCGGAAAAAATCGTCGCCTTCGAGTAGTTTTCACAAAGCGTAGAATTAGTCAAAGGAAACGTAATGTCACGCCGCTTCTGGATTAACGAAACTGAGAGCGTGGTGGACAGAGAGAGAAAAAATTGTACGTTTGCAAAGAAATCCGGATGAAAGAAAAACGGAAGTTAAAAAAATTGGAAAATTTATGATGGAAATCTCTAAGACATGGTTTTTACACGAGGAAAATTGTCGTAGGATTTCGTTAAATCTCGTAAAAGCGCATTAATAATTGCTGGTTTTGCGAAACTGGTACCATTAAAAGACATTATGTTGCTGTAAGTAGATTAAAAGATTGCGAATTCGAAACACGCGCCGAAAATGGAAAATCCGAACGCGAAAATTGGCGCATCAAACGCGTCCGTTATCCAACTAACGGGTTGAAAAGAAAATGGTGGGGGGTGTCCGAAAGAAAGCGAAGGACGAGGGTGCAATTTTCTTTTGACGTCCCGAAGAAATAATTGCACACGTGCAGCCTTTCCCATGCGAAGGCGATCCAAAATTAAACATTTTAAATCCGAAAAGAAGAACAGACCGAGCTCCTGGATGGAAAGGAGGGTGGGATCGAAGAGGGATGAAAAAAGGAAAAGCACGGCGACACGAAAGGAGCGCCTGAGGGGTGAAGGAAAAGGTGGTTGAAACAAAAAAAAATAACTAACTAGAAAGAATGTATGTGATGGAAAGAGAAGGAGTGAGTGAGAGGAGTATCAAGAGGAAACCGGAATTGGTCGAGGTCGGGTGAATGATACGTTTGAAATCGCTGGGTCCTCAGCAAAGGGTGGATCGATCCATTCGACTGTCCTTTTGGAATCCTCTCTGGTAATAGAATAATTACGAAGAGCCCCAAGGGGTGGGACCGATCTTAGCGAGG